TGTTGTCTCATGATCCTGAGGACTGTTGCCAACAACATCAAAAGGAGAACTGGAGCTGTTTTTTCTTTTTCTTTCTTTTTTTTTTTTTCCGGTACGGGGAACCAAACTCACAACCTTGTGCTTGCCAGGCAGGCGCTGTGCTGCTGAGCTAAATCCCCAGCCCCCAGAGCTGTTGATTTTCACCCCTGCAATTTCCAGCTTCAGTGGCTCCCTACACTAGGCCTCCAGCTGGACTCACTGGGGGTATTGTCATGGGCTCTAGGTCTTCAGCTGGACTGATGTAGGACATTGCCATGGGATCCAGGCCCTCAGCTGGATTCCTTGTATCTTTAGTGTGTGGACAGATTTCCTGCACTCTTTTGTACTTGATTCTTTAGGTGACTATTATAAAATAATCCTATAAATTATGTGTCCTGCATTAAACTGTTTCTGTTGCAAACACTGACCTCAACAAAATTGGTACCAGGAGTGGGGCCATTGCTATGACGTTACCTGGCCATGTGGCTTAAGAGCCTTGGGAATTAATGTGGAAAAGTTTTGAGAAACTTGCCTAAAGGCAACCCCTGTATGCTGTAAACTATATTGGAGACTCTAGTCAGACCCTGAAAAATCAGAGTACTGATGAAAATGATGTCGGTTAAGAGGAAGCTCGGGAGGCTTCTGTTGAGAACTCCCTTGGCTGCTGGATCCCAGGTAGTATATTGTGCTTTGGCAGAAAGTTGGTCTGCATTTTGCTTGTGTTTAGAGATATTACCTGGGTGAGAGAAAAATTTCAGTGCAGTTTACTGTTGGGACGGTGGCATAGTTACTGTTGAGAGCTTTTGGCCAGATCTGTGTTTGAAATTAAGAGTGAAGAGCCAGTAAGGTGATTTGAAGCTTTTGGCCAGAGGGAAGGCCCCATGGAGCTGTGATTGCAAGGGTGAAGTAGAGGAAAATGTGCTTGTTAAGAACATGACAATGGAAAAATGAACTGAAGGCTTTTACCTGAAGATAACAGCATATTTGAATGGCAGGAAATTCTTGTTCTTTTAGTGTTGCCATACCCTGTTAAAAGTAAATGAGAAGCAAGGACTGTGATTGTAATAGTTCTTTTTATATGATTTTGATGTAGTTTTTAGATATAGTTGTAATCAGGTTAATTATCAAAGCATTCTGGTTTTAAACTTGAATTTTGATCACCCTTTGAATATTTGCTTTTGGTGCAGAAATGAGTGCAATAAGAGTTGTATAAACGTAGTGGTTATATTCATGTAATCTGAATAGACAAACATGTTAACTTTTCACAAATCTGCCACTAGAAACTATGATTTAAGGACATGTTTCTGGTTATCAAGTTGACCAGGTGTGGATTGTGGTGAATAGACAACTGGCGGGCAACTTGTAACACCCAGCCGAACTGAATCAGCGTGGTGCTGGGTGTGGAGGGTCCATCTGAGGATTGTTGCCAACAACATAAAAAGGAGAACTGGAGAGTAAAAGGTGGTGCTGTTGGTTCTCTTGGAGGAGCTTGTCATGTTGGCTTTCTGATATGGACTCAGCTGTTCTCATCATTGGAGGAACTCAGGACCTCACTGTTGCTGAGGATGGCTGCAATTCTCTTTGGGGGAGCCTGGTCATTACTTTGAGCCTTGATTCCTGGTTCCAGTGCAGATCCCTCAGCCTGCTGGCACAGACTTTCTGCCTTCCACCACTGACCTTTGGGCCTTCCCAGCATAGATTCTTGAAACAGGTCTGCATGAGACCTTGTCCTGGGCTCTAGGCCTCCAGTTGGACTCGTGGGGGACATTGTCGTGGGCTCTACATCTTCAGCTGGCCTCATGCAGGACATTACCATGGGATCCAGGCCCTACCTGGATTCTTTGCATCTTCAGTGTGTGGACAGATTTCCTACATTCTTTTGTATTTGACTCTTTGGGTGACTATTATAAAATAATCCTATAAATTATGTGTCCTGTATTAAATTGTTTCCCTTACAAATCCTCACTACAACAGTGCCCTTCAAATATCTGACTCAGAGCTTCTGGTTTCCATTGCTGCATCGCCTTCTCTGACCCTTACCCTTGTGACTCCCTCTTACAAGGGTCCCTGTGATTACATGGGAACCATAGGGATAGTCCAGGATCATCTCCCCATCTCCCGATCCTTAATTTAATCACATTTGCAAAGTCCCTTTTGGCATGTGTTAGTCCGTAGTCTGATGCTATAACTGAAAGTTACAGACTGCATATTTTATAAAGAGTAAGTTTATTTGACTCAGGATTTTGAAGGCTGGGGATTCAAGATCAGTTTGTTGCAACTAGAGTGGTGCTTCTTGCTTGAGACTGAAGGTGGCACAGGGCATCATATAGTGATGCACAGCATCCTCACTCTGGTCTCTGTCCTCTTATAAATCCATGGTCCAGTTGGATCAGGGCCCCATTTTTTTTTTTTTTTTTTTTGGGAGACAAGGTCTCACTCTGCAGTTCAGACTGGCTTTAAAGTCACTTTGTAGCCCAGGCTGACCTCAAACTTGCAGTGATTGTCCTGCCTCAGCCTCCTGGGTGCTGGAATTACAGGCATGAAGCACCATGCCCGGCTTAGGGCCTCACTCCCAGTTTAGGGTGCCACATTTATGTCCTTATTTAACCTTAACAACTTCCCACAGGTCCTACCTCCAGACACCAAGCCTGGATTGAGTTTCTACCTTTTGCACACCTCATAATGGAGATACCACGTCAACATGAGATCTGGCAGAGACATTCAGTCCACTGACAACAGGGTCACAGCTCTGGGAGATTTGAACCTGGATGCTTTCAGGTGGCCATTGTTTGGCCTACTGCACTTTAACAATGTAGTAATTATTGTTCTGATAAGGTCGGTGCTCATAGATATAACTGACGCTTTCAGCTGATGCTTCTTCTCTCCTGCTGGTCTCAGGGTAGGTAGATTTCTTTCCTGACTGTGGCTTGGACTGAACCTGCTCCAGTCTTTAGCAGAGCAAGCCTATCCCTGACAGCCAAGCCACTGGTCCGCAGGGCAAGACTACAGTGGCAGGGCCTGGAGTTGCAAAGCAATGTGGATTCAGGGCATTCACTGGAAGCTAGCTTGGATGGACAAACTCCTTCTTACTATTCATTTTCCCTCGGGAGCATGTGATGTTTATTTTTCTTGAGGTATAAAACATTAAGTGTCCAAGTTGTTTTGCTCATCAGGATTCAGCTGAAGTCACTGACTCTTTGGCTCCAATGGGATACACGTTATGACCTAAAAACCAGGATATATGCTTTTATAGTACAAAAGTTAGTCTATAAGGATTTTTGATATGTTTCTAAGAGCCAAAGGAATTTTGGGGAGATGCAACTTGTTTGAGGACACACTAGTATTTCTGGCATATCCTAATAGTTTGGGAGGATAATATGACAGCATAAATAGAATAGTCATCATTTAATGAATATTTTATGAAGTGCCAAGTACTGTGTCATGTCCTTGTACATATTACCTCATTTAACCTTCCTGACAGTCCAGGGAAGTAGAAATTATCATCCTTGTTTTGAACAATCTGTCTCAAGGTGGTAGAGGCAGGCTTAGAGTTCAAGGTCAGGTCTGTTTGACTCAGAAAGCAGTGCTTATTAGCTACTGTACCACAAAGATCCAGGACACAGGATGTCCTGTTTATAGGGGTGTCTAAGTGCATTGGGACCACTGTAACATAATACCCAGGACTGGGCAGCTTATAATGAATAAAATGTTATTGACTTATAGTTTTGGAGGCTGCAAAGTTCAAGATGCAGCAGCTGTATTTTTGAAAGCCTGTTTTTTGTTTTTCTGAGACAGGATCTCATCAGGTAGTCCAGGCTGGCCTCAAACTCACTACAGTTCTCCTGCTTCTGCCTCCTAAATGCTGGGATTAGGAAAGGCTCTCAGGCAGGTATGTGCCACCATGCCCAGCCTGAGAGCCTTTTTGAAGGCATCATGGAACAGGAGGTCTCATTCTTTCATAAGGAACTCACTGTCCAAATCAGTAACCCTTGATAATGACATTAATCCAATCATGAGGGTACAGCCCTCAGGAGCTGATCACCCCTTAAAGGCACCTCCGCTCACACTGTGCACTGGGACCTAAGTTTCCAGCATGTGAACTTTGGGGCATGCATTCAAATCATGCCAAGATGCATCTAGGAAGGTTATGTGGAAGGTAAGCCACAGCCACGAACCTGCGAGTGTCTTTCTTTTCAACTGTAGTGTCAGATCTATTTGATGGCCAAGAAGAATGCTTAACAGGGTGTGGAACTGTGCCTCTAAAATCCTCTGGGGTAAGAGAGAGGACAGAGCACACTAGCATTTCCCTGGCACTGAACATATGTTTCAGGGAAATTTGGTAGAAAGATAGAGAAGTCAACCTTCTCTGTATCCAGCACGCTTGGGTCATCAGCAAAGTTAAAAACCTCTCAGACCTCCATGTCTTGGTGCGGGGGTGCTGTGGGACCCTTAGGTTATACTGGGAAGGAGGTGGGCCCCTGGGGACCCAAATACAGTCGTTCTGTTACATATCTGCTGGAGGGCTCGCTTTAGCTGCTGCTTTTTCCTGCAAACCGGGCGTAGAGTAAGAGGCCCATCTTACTTAAGGGACTGTGAGCCTGACAGCTGAAGGGTCCCAGAGCAGTAAATATCACCTTGCCTCTTTTCTTGGGCCACTCCAGCTGTCCGCTTTTGATAGACAGCGGCATCTGGCTGCTAAAAATATCCCACTGACCCAGCGCTCAACTCCAGAGGAAGCTGACTGCAGTCCAGAGCTTCGCACACGCAGAGTTACTTCTTGCAAAGGAACTTTTGTAAACTTGGCGGGCCGCATCCAGGGACCACAGTGGCCTTTAGTTGTTTTCTGCCCTCTTAGCTGTGTCGGGTGATGAACGAGATTGTCCCCCGGTCACTGTCCTCTTTCTTGTTCTGTCCCCGACTCCAGGAACCGGGGCGGAGGGGAAGGTGAGGGCTGAGAAGGGGAGGGGCAAGGGAGGGGTTGGTCCATTTATAGTCCTGCTCTTTGGGGCGCTGAAGGTGCTGAAATAGCCGCAGGGACAAGAGGCTCGGTGCAGTGTGAAACACCCACCGAGCTGGCCGGACAGAGCCTGAGATGACAGTGGGGAGCATGGAGAACGTGGAGGTCTTTGCTGCCGAGGGCAAGGGCCGAGGTCTGAAGGCCACAAAGGAGTTCTGGGCTGCGGACGTCATCTTCGCCGAGCGGGCTTACTCCGCAGTGGTTTTTGACAGGTATGAAATGTGGGAGTCGCTTTCCCGTTGGCTTGGCTGGTGCCAAACTCCAAAACACTTCACTTTCAGCATCGTCGGGGAAAGGCTAAAACTGACCGAGCCTTCATTATTTATCTGTTTCACACAATGGCACTTCTGACAACGATCTTCTTGCATAACTTTTTTTTTTTTTTTTTTTTTTTTTTGCAAGGAGTCATTGCCTGTGACTTTCCGTGGTCCCCAAAAGGGCTGGAAAGGTGAGCAAGGGCTTTGGGACACTTCCTCCTGACATCAGTCAGCTTGGTCGAGAGGATGTGGCGGGCGCTGTGGGAACTCTTACAGAACTCTAATTGTAGCTTTTTTGGGGATGCTAGAAACTATATAAATATATCAGGGGATGAAGCGATTGGTGAGAGCAAGCCCTGTGATGATTTAAATGTAGTTCTTTCTACAATATTCTTGTGGGATTACATGTGTTTGCACTTGCTGATATAGGTAGCTGTAGTTTTTTTTTTTTTTTTTTAATAGATTGCTTCTCAGCCTTTGATCTAGGGTCAAGCGTATTTTTTTTTTTTTTTTAAATAGAAATGGTATTTTACTTCAGCTATCATTTTAGATCTTGCTCTGTTCCCTAGACATATTTTTGATGTCTATCCTTGTGAGAATAATAAAACTATAGCTATTTCTTTTAAATCCTCAAAGATCTCTTTCTTTTAACTACATGGAGAGCTATCCATATTGACTCACATGCTAAAGGCATCACCACTTTTCGCTGCTGGGAAGATTCCATTCTATATGTGACATTTGTTTATCCATTCGCCAGTGACAAATGTTTGATAGTTTACAATGCCTTTTTATGAAACCAAACATTTCTGCAAATAAAGTGCTTGCCCACGCCTGCTTGTATCCGTGTGGGACTGTTCTCCTGGGCATGTGACTAGAAGGGGGACTGCTGGGGCATAGGGTATGTTGTTTTCAGTTTTAAGAGGTTTTATTAAGTTTATATTCCCATTTCTCCACAGTCTTATCGAAATAGGACCACCAAATCATTTTAAAAAATCCTGCATCGTGGTTGCATTAAAATGACAATTTCTTGAGTCCAAAGTTGAAGTAGGCTGCCTGATATGTATGTGGTCTGCATTAACGTAGTCTCAGTAATCCAGGCTCTGTGATTGGCTGGCTATTCCAACCATCCTGGGCACTAGTGCTGCTTTTCAGAGATAACTTCGTCAGCATTCAGACTCTCTTGGCTTCCCCCTTACCAAGACCTCTAGGGGAAAGGCAGTGAATTGGGGCACATGGTTCACCATTACCCACAGAATATCAGGAGTTGAGGTAGGAGTCAGAGCTCTTCAGGGGATGTCATCTTATTTCATTAATTTATGTATGTATATGTCAGAGGTGTGTGAGTGCAGGTGGGGAGTCTGATGCATCCAGTTAAAATACAAAATCTTGGGCTGGGGATAGAGCTCAGCAGCATAAGTGCCTGCTTGGCAAGTGCAAGGTCATGAGTTTGATTCCTAGTACCAAAAAAACAAAACTCAGAAATGCAAACACTGATCTTTGCTCTGTCACCAAGTTACCACCTGACGTTAAAAGGACATCTCCATTTTGTGTCTCTGATTACCCAAAATTGAAGTAGCCAATCAGTTTCCTTCGCAAGAATGTTTACAGCGGTGTGGTCTCCCAGTGAAATATTCTTATTCTAGAAAATGAAGAAAGAAGAAATATATCATCACACAAAAATAACTACCCTTAACGTTTGGGCCTTTTTTTCTAGCTTGTTTTACAATAGCTTTCATAGCTGGGTGTGGTGGCACATGCCTGTAATCCTAGAACTCACAAGGCTGAGGCAGGAGGATCACTGTGAGTTCAGAGCCAGCCTGTGTACATAGTGAATTCAAGGCCAGCCTGAACTATATAGCAAAACACTGTTTCAAAAAAATAAACAAACAAAAATAGCTTTCACTCATTTGTACTACACATTTGGGACCTTAGGCTATTTTTCCTTTAATAATTTAGACATCTTCTGTGCAATTATATACTCTTCAAAGATGTAGTGTATAAGGGATGCATGTTCTTCTACCATTTGCTGATGATAGACAGTCTGTATCCATGTTTTTGTTATTATAAATAATTTATCATTCATTTGAATAACTCCAAAGACTTTGCAGAAAAATGCTACATAAAATGTTTTATTACTTACTACAAAGGTAATAAAGAGTAGAATGATTGGGGTAAATGATCTTTAAAATGGTGATGAGGGGGTTGTGGATGTCACTCAGGGGTAGAACACACTGTTAGCATTATAAGACCCTAGATTTGATTCTCAGCACCACAAAATGAGACAAAAGATTGAAGAAAATAAAAAAAAGATCATTATAAACAATGTTTTAAACAAAGGTGGGCATGGTGATGTATGCCTAGAATCCCAGCACTTGGGAGGCTGAAGCAGGAGGATCACTGTGAGTTTGAGCCCAGCCTGGGCTACATAATGAGTTTAAGGCCAGATGGAACTACATAGAGAGACCCTATCTCTAAAAGAAAACAAACAAAAACAAAAAACCAAAACAAATCTCTAAAATGGGAATCATAACATACTGCTGCTGGGGAAGCTGGCAGCCTGGACGCTGTTAGAAAGTCCATAGTTTTCATCATTTTCAAATGGTCCTCAACCCAGAAGTTTGAGAACCACCAGATTTATTCAATCCTCTCTGGTGGATGGGGACACGGAGGAGTTTAGAGGGGGTAACGGGGCTTTCCCAGATCCCACAGGGGGAGGAATAGGGCAAGACTGAATCTCGCTGTACCCTGTCCAAGTTATCACTTTTCTCTGCCTCTTACCAACAAGTGATCTGCTTAATTTTATTTTGTATTTGTAGGAATGATAAATAATATTTAGTCTTGTTAAAAGAAAGAGCAATCACTATCAGTTTCAGAAGAATCAAAAGCTGATTCTGGGGCCTGAGAATTGTTAGACCTAGAAATTCATAGGTGAAAAACGAGAACAAAGTGTTTATCATAATAAACCAATGTATTAGTTTCCTATTGCTGTAATAAGTTAGCACAACCACAGTGACTTCAAACCATATAAATTCACTATCTTACAGGCCCGGATCTTAGATGTCTAAGTCGGGCATAGTTTTCTGTTCCTTTGCCGTCTCCAGTGTCTAGCAGCTGCCCACGAACAGGAAAAAGGCCATGGCCTCTTCCTGCATCTTGAAAGCCAGCAGTAGCATCTTGCCCACCTTGGCCTCCTGCCTCCTTGGTGTGACTCTGACATCATTAGAGCTACCTCAAGAATCAGGATGCCGTACCTATCTCAAGGGTCCTCTCCTTAATTATGTCTGCAAAATCCCCTTGCCATGGAAGGTGACAAACTCCCAGGCTGTGGGCATTACAACATGGGCATTTTGGGAAGCTGTTATTCAGCCACTAATACACATGTTCTAGGTTAATCCAATTTATCATGAAATATCAACATATATTTAGAAGAACCAAGGTTTGTCTCTCCTCTCCCATCCTGGCAATTGAACCTAGGGTCTTGCATGTGCTAGGCAAGCTCTGTACCACTGAGCTACAATTTTAGTCCCCTTTTAAAATTCTTTAAATAAAAATGTGACCTAAATGACTCTGGTTAAGAAGTTGAAAGCATTGAGGCTATAATGGTAAGTAAAATAAATCAGATACACAGTTTAAATATTGCACAGTTTCCAGGTGTGATGGTGCACACCTGTAATACCAGCACTTGGGAGGCTGAGGAAGGAGGATTGCTGTGAGTTCAAGGCCAGCCTGGGCTACATAGTGAGTTACATCCCAGCCTGAACTGGAGAGTGAGAACCTGTCTCAAGAAAATTGCATGGTTTCTCTTCTATGAGAAACCCAAAGTACAAGTAAATTGAAGAGCAAAATAAAGGATAGATAATAGGAAACAGGGAGGTACAGGGGCACCTCGGTTCATGAACTTGATTCTTTCCACAATTCTGGCCGCAAACTGAGTTGGGTGTGAACCAAATCAAATTCAGTGGTTAGGTTCAATGATGACCTTGGGGAGGGGTGGAATTTGAATTAGTTCTCATTCAGATCAGTTTGCAACCAGAATCAGTGGGGGAGAATTGAGTTCGTGAACTGAGGCACCACTGTAGATCTTTTACAAAAGAGAAGGAAACCCAGAGATGGAGCAAGAGGAGAAAAGGGGGAAGTAAAAAGAGCTAAAGATGTATTACGGGCCTGTACCAATTCCTCACGATAAGTATAATCATCGTATACTGCAAATACATATCAATAAAAATTAAAAAAATAACCAGCACAATTTAAAAGTAAGTTAAAAGTGTCCAGGAGATTACGCATACATGTGTGTAGGGGAAAAGCAGGGAAACGTGATACACAATGGAATACTTTAAAAGAAATTAATACCAACCAGCCTGGTTTTGAAAACTGACCAGATAGGGGCTCCTGCGGCCGAGTGGGGACAGCTGGGCTCCTAGCTGGTGTAAATCTATGTGCTGCAGGGCAGCCAGCATTAGCCCTGGCAGACACTGGCCCACACATGTGCCCTGTCATCTGAACAGCTGAGGAGTGGGCGCTGGAGGACAGATGATGCTATAAATGGAAGTAATTTAATAAAAGGATCAGAGAGATTCCTGAGCAATTCATTCAGAAAGTGAGCAAATAAGTATTTATTAAAGTGTTCAGGTTACTACAGTCAATGTTTGCACTTGTTGAAGATAACCACAAGAGACCTGGAGTTTATGCCTTTCATTCGGCAGTTTCAGGTGCAGAGGCGAGACCTGCCCATGTGCCGTGCAGCCTGTTGTGAGCTGTCCTGCTACATTTTACAAAATAACCCTCAACTTCAGACATCCGGGAATAATTGCCTTTTAGACCTAGATTACACCAAATGGCAAGTTATCTCCATAGCGATGTAACCTTCACTCATTTGCACCCGGGGGTGTGATTTGAACTTGAGGTGACAGTGTGGACACAGCCAGAGGCTGAAAATGCACCCAGAGGTGAGGATG